GGTAGCACCCAATATAAAACCTCGCATTAAAGTAAACACTCAGAGCGACTTGGATAAAGTATTGGCCAGAAGAAGTTTCATTCACTTAAATCTAGTTTCATTCAGCACAACTATAATCTCCGAATTCGGGTACTTTAGTAATTTGTTAATTTTCCCACTAAACGCTACCGCTAAGGAGGAGCACTTTCCTCGCTTTTCTATCATAGGTAAGTTTGCTTGCTTCTCTATAACAACTCTTGTTTCTCTATAAATGCGCGCTTTATCTTTAGCAAGCCGTCCAGCAGATCGTGTACACCGCCACGTAGAGCTGAAAGGCGTGGGTGAGATGGCCCGTCACACCCATCTTATAACTCACACCTTGGTTAGCTGCGAGGTGGGGTCTGGGTCAGCGCTGCCGCGTTGCTATGATTGACTACGGGCAGACGCGGGAGGAAGAATGAGGCACCAATCCGAAGGTTGCGGCTAGTGCACCTACGTTACCCAATCGCGACTACGACAAGCCCAAGCTCGCCACTCCGACGCTCAGGAACTACGTTTTGACGACGCCGTTCGGCTTTGGTTAACAGAAGCAATAACGCAGGGCATGGTAATTGTGGCTATGCTGACGTCAATCTCGCAACAATAAATTGCTGGAATTGATACGCATAGGAGGGGGAACACATTAACCACTAGGTATAATAACAATGATAGTAATTAGTGCCAGTGTTGAATGATTCATTCATGGTCTAAACACCCATACTTATTTTCTGGTGATGTTCATACTTATGCCGATATTCTGACGGAGCTTCGGTGGGGTAGGCTCTCAAGAGCTCACATGGATCTACTAAACACAGAGCATCGCTGAAAGCCTTAGTTACCTTGTGGAGTTCGCAGAGTCTTACTTCTCGAAGTATTATGTTCTCGCCATGCTAGAAATCGAGAAAGTTCGGCTTGGTGAATGTATGGAGGTATTGACACAAGTTGTTCCATTTCTGTGACAGCGTCACTCGGTGGCTTAAAGTTCGCGATATACTCGTATACTCATTGGTAGCATATTCAATTCCTGGACTTGATACGAACCAAAACAAAGGCAACCGCGAATTGTTTCCAGTAATTAGAACGCTAGGAAGTGCAATATCGCTTGAATTAGTATGGTTTCAGCTTACAAAAAGTAAACTATTGGCTTCACATGAACAATGCCATAGCTTCTCCAACACAACAGAATGACTTCGAGGCTCATTCATTAAATTTAATACTAAAAGCCTTAGTTACCTTGTGGAGTTCGCAGAGTCTTATTACATTCTCTCCATGCTAGAAATTGAGAAAGTTCGGCTTGCTGAATGTATGGAGGTATTGCCTCAAGTTCCTGCAAACGTTCCATTTCTTTGACAGCGTCACTCGGTGGCTTGAAGTTCGCGATATACTCGTCCGTCAGCGACTCAGTTAGCGTTAGTTTATCCAGTTCGGTTGTCCGAGATAGCGCCACGTAAAATATTTGTGACGGAACGCCTCCTTTTCTCTCTAATCTCGCTACAGCAATACCATCGTGGCAAGTTTGGCCCTGCAGCTTTTCTGCAGTACACGCAAAAGCAGGAACCAGCGCAAATTGACTGACAGTGATGTTTGCTTGTGATATGTGCCCGAGGTTGGTCAATTTGACTTGAGCTTTGAGGGGAGGGACACCGATCACACCCGGAGGAAATCCGCTCACTAGAATTTCAGTGCAGCTGTGAATGCGAACGAGAATTAGATCCGGCAGCCCAGCCAATATTTTCACTGTCGTTTCTCCAACATGTGACGTAACACAGGAGTTCTTCGCTAGGTGATGGTACAACCCCGACAATTGTTCCTAGTGTACCATTAGCAAGTATATCCGCATCCCGTAGTTGTGGGTGCTTTCGCGTTATCATAACATACATCCCCACGAAGAAATATAGTTTCATCGGAATGCGATCCGTTTGATCGTCTCTGGCTCCAATAATTTTATCGAAAACATGCTGCGAGCGCCGTGCTGGTCGTGCAAGACATTCGTAAAGTGTAGCGTTGGTTTTAGCACACGTCGAGAACGCCATTTCATGATTTACTGCAGCTCGTAGCTCATTTGACGCGACGATTAAAGGGCGATGGTACGTCGTTGGGGTGTGATCGTCTTGGGAATGATTGGCCAAAGCTCGGACTCTTGTGTTTAGTAGATCCATGTGAGCTCTTGAGAGCCTACCCCACCGAACCTCTGTCAGAATTTCGGCATAAGTCGGATCCGCCTGTGCTCGCATGTTCTCAATCAGGAAAATAACAAAGTTAATAGCCAAGTAAACTTCATACCCTGCGTGCTTTGCCGGCGAATCAGTGTCACGCGGTACTGTGAAGCCTGTTAAAATGAGCAGTATTAGTTTTGATGATATAATTGACGTTCAGCGATATAACGTACAGGGGCTGCCGCGAACAGGTGGCAGCTGAAGACAGTCACCTCCGAGCATAAGGTGCTTCCCGCCCATAACTTTTTCCGGCGATCGCGACATTGAACGACTTGCCAGATCCGTGTTACCCAGTAGACCTTCATCCGTCATCGAAACCTCGTCAATTATTACCAGCTTTACCTGCTGATACCGTGTCTTCATTTCAAGATTGGCTGGTGTACTTGATTGCCGTCCACTGAGAGTCAAATTTCGAGAGCTATGCATGGTTTTTCCGCGGATATTTATCGCAGCAACCCCGGTAAATGCCATGGTTTCTACCGTTCCAGCACGTCCCCACCGCTTAGCAAATTTCAGAAGCGCGTGAATAACTCGCGACTTACCCGTCCCTGCTTCTCCACCCAGATACATAACTACTTGCGGTTTGAGAGCGTAAGGTTCAGCTGTAAAATCGCTGGGGAAAATAGGATCTTGGAGCTCGTCATCTATATCACGTAGATATTCGAATAGGAGGTGCCTCGCAGCAACCTCAAATGCTACATGCTGCCAAAAGTTCAACTTGTATGCTTGCGACAAAACCGCAATCTTGGCAAGCATGGGTAGGTCATCAATCTCGAAAGCATCCGATTCGAGAGGAGGAACCCACGGGACCGGCTTGAAGCACTCTTCTAGCTGACTTAACCGCGTTCGTGCCTCAGTAAAAGTTGCGATGAAATAGTTGTAAAAGATGAGGGTTGGCCACGCGAACTCGTAACAACATTTTGCAGGTAGCTTGCAATGTCAGTATCAATATCCAGCGTCATGATCTTGTCATGATCTTGTGGGTAACTAGCACTCACGCTTTCAACAACACCCCGAAGATAGGGCGTCGCATCCAGCACTGCAGTCGCAGTTTCGAGCCATTGTTCCGTTGCACCATCATATTCAAAGTCGGCCTCGAGTCCGCCCTCAGAGCCAGCCTCCGATGCTTCACTTCCATTGTCATTAATGCGTTCCCATGGCCTGGTGGCGGATGGATGCGTCCGAAGCAATTCCGATTCCTGTGACTCACTATAACTTTGATCTCTCTCCTCAGCTCTGAACATGTCAGACACTTTCGCCTCAAAATCGGACATCTGCAATATAGAGTCTCTATCACTGGATCGCTGGAATGCAAAGTAAGCGTCACTCGGTGTTTGTTCAACTTGCAGCAATGTATCTTCGCGATGAGGCTTGAACAAAATCAGCACTAAATGATAGTAAAATCTTCGCTCTTCATCAGAAATCGTTTCAGACTCGATGTCAGGCAGTTGCTTCCCTGACAACACAAAAATCTTTCGGGAAACATTTCGCTCAAACTGTATACAGTCAGGTTTGGCACGTTTAACAGTGAACCATTCACAAAGCGTTATGAAATTGACCGCCTCGAGCTCGTCTTGCCGTCTCCAATGCTGCCGTAATAACTTTTTTGCTGAAGAAATTCGCGGAGAAGAATTCGAATCTGGGTCATGCGGACGAGAGACTGAAACTTCCTCCGTGTCATCATGCGTGTAGATAACTTTCCCTAGGTTGACGTGAGCTGCATCGTGAGAGAACCAAAACGGAGATGCCCGACGTATGTGAAGTGCGGCCATCGGAGCTGCAACTTCCTGTCCATTTGTAAGTGTATAAAGCATCGACGAAAGTGTTCGATATCCGTGGTGCTCTGTTGGGGTTTCAGCCGGTAATTGGTTTGCCTTCTTAGCCCCTTGGTTGAACGCAGCAAGCGAAAACCGCATCCTAACCATCTACTACAAGTTGGCAGTAGTGTAAGGCAAAGCCGAGAGTCCCGTAAATACGAAAAATATTTTTTTCAAAAATTTGTTTTCGAGGATTAGTACAGACCAATGTGGATTTAGTCCACAGCAAACATCTAAGTTCCATACTCCATGGGCTCGCTACGAATAGCAGCGGCGACAGACCTTGCGTCCGCTTACAGTACAGGTTGTAGTTGGTCTCGTCATAATACACGATAAAAACACCGTTCCGCTCATGCTTCAGCAACTCTTCACCAAACACCCTCCTCTTCTCGATATTTACAGCATTATTGCAGGTCTCGGGCTCTACGCGAACCTATCACAGGGAACATACTTAGTACAGTAGATGGTAAAAGTGATAGCATAATAACTTGAAGGCGTACCTGCTTAACAGTGTAAAGCTTATCGCAAAGCTTCTTACTGATCAACGAAGTGCTGATGTGCACCCTGAAGTCGAACGCAAGCATTTCCTGCATCTGCACGAGTGTGTACTGGCAGTTGTCTTCCAGGTAGCCCACGAGAGCTTCCTCCATTTCTGGAGTACACTTCGTGCACGCCGCCCGCGCGCCG